CAGGTGCTAGAACATCATTGACATAGGTCTGAGCATTGACATTACGGTCGAACACTACAAGATCTGTTCTTCCAAACTGTGACATCCCTGCCCATATGTGAATGGAGCCACCACCCCAACGATTAAAAGTCTGAATACAGGCTTCGGCATAACGCAAGTTCCTGCGCCTCCAAACACGTGCACGACCATCGGCTCTGCTCAGCACTATTTTTGTTTCGTGAGAGAAAAGTACCCTGCTCCAGAATCTACGGTTCATTCTTATGTGCACTCTAGCCCACCGTAGTCGATCCCGTTTGTGACGTGCAGTGAGGCGTGATGCCTTGAGGGGTCTCCTACACCTCAAACCAACTTCCTTAAGCCGATTTCGAACTGTGTTTGCGTGTATACTGCGCCTGAAAAGTAACGCAACGTCTCAAAAAGGGCAAACCTCATCAAAATGTGAACAGCTCAAAATTTGATAAGAGGAAGAATTTCGGAAAGATAGCAATATTTTCACCTACCCGTGAGTACCTATTGTTCGTCTAGCTGTAGAGGACGCCGCTTCGAATCGATTACGTAGGTGCCCCACTCGAATATTCACATCCTGTCTCCTAGTGGTTATTTGTGGTCGACCGGATTTTGGTAAGTCTTTGACACTGCCAGAGGCATTGTACCTATTCTGTAGACGAGTGATAGTGCTAACATGACAATTAAATCGCCGTGCAACGTCAATCCTCGAAACACCAGCTTCAAGTAAACCAATTGCTTGATTCCGCAAATGTTCAGCAAGGCGCGGCATGGTTATAAAGTACTGACAGTTCAAATAAACTTGTTTTTCATGTGTACCGATTCATCACTACACCGCTACATGTATAGAAACTATCGGTAAACTATAGAGCCAGTGTGCACGTGGAAATGTGGTTTGTACAGTTTGCCGTTAAACTGCATTGAGGGAGGCTAAAATAATGCCGTTTTGTACTCAAGTTAACAATAAAATGTCATTGAGAATATTAAAGGGAAAATTGTTTGTCCAAATTTAGTATAAACCTAAAATAATGAAAAATGAAAAAGTTGCGTTTCTGTTTGTACTGAGTGTAGTATGTATATATAAACATGATAAATAAAACATTCCGGACAGTTTTTAGCATTCCAACAATTTCAAGTCTTACCAAAAAAAAATTCCCCCTTGAATGAAAAATATTTGAAAATCATGCAAAAATTCCCCCTCCCCCTGCATGGACCCTGGCCCCAGCCTCAAAATGCTAACGAGAGCCATGTTAAGAGTGAAGTTACAAGTAAGTACAGACAGACGGCTAGATTCCTAGAACAGAATCTTCTATTCTGCAAGTTGGCTTAAACAGATCAAATTAAAATGATAAAATTTAAAAATTACTTTTTGAATTAACAAACATCGCTCAGGTATGACATACAAAAGACTTCATACATTATCCCTGCAATTTTATTTTTGCAATTTTTTTTATTGTTATAAGCGATACTACCAGCTTCTGAAACTGAAAATTTAAGAATTTTAAAGTTTAGAAGAGGACGTTTCCGAAACATACAATGAATTAAAAACTTATAACAACTTCAAATACTGTAAATAGTATATGCAATTTCATAGGGTAAATTCTTAGATAAGTTTTATTTTAATAGAAATAATCAAAAGAAATTTTACACAATGTGACATCAACTTGTCAATGTTGTAAGCAGCTGTAAACGTAAAACGCTTCAACGACGGTGAATTTCATTTTGCGGGTTCCTTTTTTAATAGGTCAGACAACACAAAAAGGTTATTAGGTGGGTACACGGTACTAAATGAGAAATCAGTTTAGACTAAGGACCATTATTTTATTCTTTATGAAAAGTATATAAGTAAATTAAAATGAGAATGACATTGTGAAAGTGAGATGTGTATCTAAAAATGCACTAAAGACAGCATACTTTATATTTCAAGTTGAAATGCCCTTGCAGGTGTTGCATCTAAATTGCTCTGGAGGTTCCATTTAATGTGTATTTTTTTTCTAAAATATCTACTAAAGCTAACACTCTTGCTTGTGATCAAGGTCACAGTGACCTCAACTTTTAACTGACTTACCTTTAAATCAATTTAGGGGTCATCTCTTACCCTGGCTAACCTCCGCAACAAATCTAGGATTAGTCTGATGCCTTTCAAGTTATTTGTCTGAAGATAAAAAATTTAATGGTCAAGGCATAGTGACTTTGACCTTTGATAGACAAACCCTAAAATAGAAAGGGGTCATCTACTACTCATGACAAAACTGCAGACAAAATATTAAGTGCTCTCTAGTTACTGGTCAGGAAAGCTTGTAGTAGTTAAGGCCTAGATGGCCTTGAACTTTAACCAAATGACCTCAAAATTGATAAAGATCATCTTAAGTGCCCCGGCATAACCAATTTTGACCTTAGAGATGTAACTTGCACAACTTTGGTAGGGGACCTCTAAATCATATTATATAACACATATAAAAGCTCAAGCCCTTGTACTTTTAGACAAGAAGTTTTTTTTTAAATTTGCATGTATAAAACCCTGCTTTTAGCTTATGCAACCAATAGGAACCATCTGAACAACTGTGATAGATGACCACCAAAGGAACATTCCTTTGAAGTTGTGTGAAGAATCAAGTCATAAGTTTCAGAGGAGGTATTGTTCAAATAAATTATTTATGGCAAACAACACCTTCAAAATATAAGTGTGACCTTGACCTATGAAGAAGGGACATGGTTCCTGGACGCGACAAAATGTTTTGTTATGAGATAGACATTTGTGCCAAATTATTTCGAAATCCCTCAATGCATGACAAAGTTTCAGTCTGGACATGATTGTTGTGTAAGTGGGGACACACAGACAGACGGACATGAGCCTTAGCCGCAACACATTGTCTTGATGTGGTAGACATTTGTGCAAAGTTATTTTTAAATCCTTCCATGCATGACAAAGTTACAGTCCGGGCATGAATGTGTATCTTCAAACTCTTCTCGAGAGAATGAGTACTTTCAAACTATAAGTGTGACCTTGACCTTGAAGGTAGGGACATGGGTCTTTGTTGCAACACATCGTCTTGATGTGGTAGACATTTATGCCTAGTTATTATAAAATCCTTCGATGCATGATCGACAAAGTTACAGCCCGGACACAAATGTATGTACTTATAAACTTGAGGCGACACATTGTTTTGATGTGGTAGACATTTATGCCGAGTTATTTTAAAATCCTTCCATACATGACAAAGTTACAGCCCGGACACGATTGTGTGTACCTATTTATTCTAATTGTGATAATGTGAAACTTCAAAATGTTAGGTAGAGATGTAATTCTTGGACAAGACACATTGTCTTGATGTGGATGACATTTATGCCTAGTTATTATCCCCCGCCGAAAAATTTTCGGCGGAGGATATAGAAATAGTCTCCGTCCGTCCGACCTTCCGTCCGTCCGTCCTTCCGTCCGACATTTTTGTCCGGAGCATATCTCTAAAAGTATTTGAGTTATCAACTTGAAACTTCATAGGTGGATAGACCTCATTGAGAAGGAGTGCAGTGCACAAGAATGATAACTCTACCTTGCATGATTTTTGAGTTATTGCCCTTTGTTATTTTTCAAAATTGATTTTTGTCCAGAGCATAACTCCAAAAGCCTATGAGATATTAACATGAAACTTCATAGGTGCATAGATCTCACTCAGGAGGTGTGCAGTGCACAAGAATGATAACTCTACCTTTCATAATTTTTGAGTTATTGCCCTTTGTTATTTTTCATACCTAATTTTTCACCTGAGTGGAGCATAACTCAAAAAGTTTTTGAGATATCAACATGAAATGTCATAGGTGGATAGATCTTATTGAGGAGGAATGTTGTGCGCCAGAATGATAACTCTTCCCTATACAATTTTTGAGTTATTGCCCTTTGTTTTTTTTCATGCTATTTTGTCCAGAGCTTATCTCAAAAAGTATTTGAGGTATCAACTTGAAACTTCATAGGTGGATGGATCTCATTGAGGAGGAGAGCAGTGCTTAAGAATGATAACTCTACCCTGCATTATTCTTGAGTTATTGCCCTTTGTTATTTTTCAAAATTAATTTTTGTCCAGAGCATAACTCAAAAAGCCTTTGAGATATCAAAATGAAACTTTATAGGTGCATAGATCTCACTCAGGAGGTGTGCACTGCACAAGAATGATAACTCTACCTTTTATAATTTTTGAGTTATTGCCCTTTGTTCTTTTTCATACTTAATTTTTCAATTCAATTTTTTTCTCAAAAAGTATTTGAGGTATCAACTTGAAACTTCATAGGTGGATAGATTTTACTGAGGAGGGATGCAGCACACAAGAATGATAACCTACCCTGCATTATTTTTCAGTTATTGCCCTTTGTTATTTTCAGCCATCAGTATTCACATAGGTTTCAAATCTGTAATCACTATAGCCATCAGTTTTCATTACCAAAAGACCTCTTAAAATGGAATTATTCCCCTCTACTACATATACATTCTTCCAATGAGCAAACACATTCGGCGGGGGATGGCCATGTTGACATGGCTCTTGTTTTAAAATCATTCGATGCATGACAAAGTTACAGTCCGGACATAATGTGTGTACCTATTTTCTCTAAGTGCGATAATGTAAAACTTCAAAATGAGAGTGTGACCTTGACCTTTGAGGCAGGGACGTGGTTCTTAAACGTCCCACATCGTCTTGATGTTGTAGACATTTGTGCAAAGTTATTTCAAAATCCATCAATGTATGACAAAGTTACAGGCCGGACACGAATGAAGTGGGACAGACGGTGCATTTATATTATGCCTACCTTCAGGGGCATAAAAAGTGAAAAACATTTGTTTTTTCATATAAGTCTTATACATGTAACAAAGTTAAACAATTTAATGGTTCAATTTCAAACAAAACATGTTTCATATGTCGTTATTATTTCTTTTTTCTACAAAGTTTAAGAAACACTCACAGCTTCGTCATGGGTTTTCTACAGTTAAAAAAACAAGGTAATGTCTTTTTATGAAATATTTTATTCATGAAATTCATTGACTTTCATCTAAAAATTGCAACAAGTTGTCAGAAATTCTTTTTTTTATAGTTTCAATCATGTAACTCACATGACATCATGTAAACAAGTGTGTGTACAGATAGATGGTGAACATAATGTTTTTACCAAGTATAATGTACAAGATACCATTTTGTATAATAAGTAAATACCATAGATTGTCAGTTCATTATACTTTATAGTTATCATATTGAGATAAAATATGATTAAATTACATAAACATGAATTGTATTTAATGCCTTCCTTCTGTTGAATTTCTTTAAAAAATAAACACAATTCTGCAAAGAATTAAGATACCTTTATCCCCTTTTAATTTTTTGATAAAAAAATACAAGCTTATTCAGAGAAGGGAAGGAAAAGTGTTTGTTTTTCAAAACCAACTTTCATTAACAAAAGCTAAGGCAGTAATTCATATTGTCAAATCTTGTTATCACTTTATTGAAATTAACAGCTAAATATCTTTACTCAAAACAATGTAATATTAATCACAAAGAAAACAATTTTCAAAAGTAAATGTATCAAAATCATGAATATATATCGAATCAACCATTACTTTCTTGGAACCTAAAGTGATGATCCTCTTTGGCACCAGTACAGAGCCAGACCAACCTGCATATCATTGCAGTCTGACCAGGCTGTATACTCTTGGCTGACAAAATTCATATGTCATCTTCATGCATCTCTAGTTGATAATGGGCAGTTTCAAAATTGGAAGATGGACAAGTCTAATTAATAAGAAATACAGTTGGTTTATTAAATAAGAGGTTTTGTAAATATTATATTCAAGACTGCATTAAATGATTGTAAAAGATTGTTCAAAAATCTAGTTTAGTCTTTCCAACTCCGGAGCCACATCCAGTTTCAGGTTTGAGCTTTGCCACTGGGTCTTCCTGTGACCTGTTAGCTGTCTCAGATAAATCAGGAGGTAAATGAAGCTTCTCTATACTAAACTTCTTCCTTCTAAGTTTAAACGCCAGATCTAATGTCTCCGGCATTGTACATACTAGTGAATTTAGACAAGGCAATTTTCTTATATGAAAGAGTCCATGATAATCTTTGTACACTGGGTTCTTTTCTTTGTCAGATCCCACAAAGCTATCCACTTGTACAACAGTGTCACAAAATCTTTCAATCTTCCGAACAAAAGCTTTGTCACAAAACAAATGAGATGGCACAGTTATAACACATGTAGCATATGCCGATCGTAGAACTGCACGTAACGCGAGTAAAAACCTGAGCAGAGCAGGATCATACCTGTCACTGGATGTTAATCCGCCATTTTCTCCCCACAGTGGCGATCCAATAGAATGAAGTGCTATTCTTAAAATGTTTCTTTTCTCTGTTGTGAAACTGGTACTAAAACCTTCAGACTCGATCTTCTTTTGAATAGTTCGTAAAAGTTCATCATATGATGGGTTATTCTGACAATTTCTGTCTTTTGCAATAGTTTGGTTATTTCCGGTACAACTTATATCAATTGTTTTCACTAAATCTTCATCCATGGTCTTTGTAAGGTCGTAATAATGTCCAAATTTAATTGCAGCAGGACTTGATTGAAATTTAGGTAGACGACGGTACCGCCATGCTATTTTCATTGCGTCAGGCTCATCTTCAGGCTCCTGCATTTCTTCTTTTCCTGGATCGTCTATAATGGGTCCAGGTAGATCTTTCAGTAACTGATCAGGGCTAGAGTCTGTACTTGCTAGCAGAAGCGAATGGCCAGTCATAACTGCCTCTGCACAGAAATATTTTAGCATGGTTCTTGCATAGTTGCCATATACATCTTCTTCAATTAATAATACAGTTCCAACTGCTATACCTCCACCCAGAAGTTGGTCCAAAGATGGTATCCCAGATGATATCAGTAGCTGATTGTTATAGAGTGACACCTTAGCACCAGGTATTTGAACCACTTTTGATCTTGTTTTCTTTTGAAAACTTGTAGCCATGTTAAGTTTTCAGCGTGAAATATAGATTTTTTTTATTTCACATGGTTTTCACCATCTTGTTTACATATTGTTTAGTAAGAGTAACTTCCCTTGTATTACTAATCGTCACATGTAATTAATCCTCTGCTAACACCGGTTTCAGCAACAGCAAGATGTTCATAATATCGATTATTTCTTTTTTCCTTTTCTAAATACCTTTACACTGACCAGACAAGAAAAATGAACAGACCAAGAGCCCTTTCGTAAGTATCGCCAAAACTCCATTGCAACTGAAGTTTAATTTATGTTATCTTCCTTTAAATAAGCGCTAAAAATATGTTACACATCTAGAATTTAAGTGGGTGGGGAGTCGTCATAAATTATTTTAAATCTCCCCCATATAAATTTATACTGCTATACAGATGCTTTGTGTACTTTGAAAGTTTGATTATTTCTCACTCAAAGTGTTATTTTCCAAAGGAATATGTCAAAAACATTTTATTTTCATCTTCATGAAATCAAAACAGAAACTAGTCTAGAGTAAGGTAGATCTATTTGCAAGATTTATTCATTCATTATTTTTGTTAACAAAGTCATAAAAACATAAACATCAACATCCAATAGAAAGCAGCACCGAAAAATAATAAACATTCTAAATGTCCCATAATATGGTTCTTAGATGTTAAAAGTTACTGACTGCTGAAAGTTGACAGGGGCGGGGCAAGATGGGCCAATTGTCTTTGATCATTGGTTCCACAGAGATCGAACAAATTTTTTAAAGCCGCTGCTCGTCCTGCAGGACAAGTATCTTCAAATTTCTACTCGTCCTGCATGCTGTGCTACTTGTCCTGCATTTTGGGCACGATTTTCAAAATAAATCTCACTGATGCAATATAACCTTGCCAATGCAATGGACCGTAAGAAATTTTCATAATCAGTTTGTTTACATAAATTTAACAAACTAAAACCCAAAACTAAGCTTATGTTTTACTTTATGTATAAATCGCGCATTCAATAGGGCATTGTCGGGCACGTTCAGCTTACACCTGTATCCAATTAACTACACATAATGTGCTCAAATTATACATAACCTAAGTCCTAAAAAACAAGCCTTGTTTCCGGTTTTTCATCATTTTTCGCCATTTCTAAATTGTTCCACTCTTTTACAATGCAATAATTTACCTCTCTCAGCAGAGCATAAGCATATAACATAGTTAAGGGAAGTTCAAGAGATTCATACAGAATATGCTTTTAGTTCTGTACATATAAACATGCAACATGCTTTTATACAGTGATTACAGACAGGTCCCTCTGTCTAGTAAATGAACAACTCCAAATATCAGGGAAATGGAAGTCTGAATTGCTTGTTAATGTATTTAAAAATATTATTATTATTGATAAGCATTATTTTTGAAAGTTTTTGGAAAATTTTTCAGGATTTATTAAAATGAATTGGTCTATAATGGAAGATCTGTAATACAATAAATAATTGTATCATTGATAGTAATTAGTATCAGCAGGGATCATTCTACGGGGCGATTTCCGCGATTTCTCGCAAAAATATCACCAAAATCTCAGAGAAATTTGTGAAATGAGAGAAAATCTCGCACGGCAATTTTTAGCCGGAAAATGTCTAAACACAATCTAAGGAATGCTAAAATTACACAAAAATATGATGAAAAATTCACAAATTCCCATCAAGAATTTAATTTCAAATTGTTTATTAATGAAATCGGTGTAAAAAAACTCCAAAAAGTAGTCCAACACTTTGAATTATTTAGCCTAAAATAATTGCCGATCGGAGACCGCAAATTCACCGTACAGAAATACGGTATGATGGCTAACCTTTATCTATCTGCAAGTCGAGAATTTACACAAAACACTTTTAATTGATTTTAATAAAAAAATTTAGACACAGACTAACATAAAAATGGACATGTCAAAAATAAATCTACCGGTAAAATTTGTCTTCTAAATGTCACATCAACCACGGTAAATTTTGCCGTAAAGAACAAATTTAAAAATTTTGTTTTACGATTCCTGATGAAATAGCCGATAATAAATGTTCTTTTATTGAACAAAAATATTTAATTTTATATAATTGCAATCAGCAACAGCTAGAATTGTGAATGTTTCAGCGGAAAACAGACAAATATTCATTTGTCACATATTTTCGCGATGTCGTGATTAAAAAAAATTCTAAAAGGAAGCCGAGTGTTATTTAAAGGTGTTTTATAACACTATATGAATAAAAATTACTTTAGTTATTGTTTATATTTGTGGATATGGAGATATTTGTCATTATGTGTTCAGGTATATTTTTAATGGAGGGAGGTGTGTGAAGAGAATCATAAAGAAAACAAAATGAAAGGTTATAAAAATATTCTTCAAATCTCAACAATCACTTTTGTACAGTACAGTGTTGTCCATTAGGAACATTGACTGCAAATAATAGTTGTAGTAGATATCCATGTATAATTCTTTTATATTTCAGAATAAAGATGTTATATTTATTTTTCACAATTAGAATTTTATTATGTTTAAAAAATCACAAAAAAAAGGCATAGGATGTGTTAAAAAAGTGAAAACAAAAATCACTGTAATAAACAGAGCTACATCTTCTTATATCCTCATTAGATAAACAATGGTTATATGTACAGTGATTTTTAAAAAGTTAGAAATGTCCATATTTTAAACCTCGCCCATCATGAAAATTAAATCTCTCAAGAAAATCTAATTTCTCTCATCAAAATTTCTCAAATGAGAGAAAATCTCTCACTAAAAATCCTGACCAGGATGATCCCTGATCAGACATAACAAAAAACTATGGAAGAATTATATATGTATGTTATTGGCAAGTGTGAGATACATAAACTGATTTTACATATATTTGTATTATTAGTTATAAAGATTGTTGACAGTTATATGGCCCTATATAAATGGCTATTTGTCAATATAACCAGAGCCGCTAGGTGAGGGTTATATTGCAAACAGACATTTATATACGGCCATATAACCTGTCAGCAAACTTTATAACAATTTTATAATACAGCAGCATCATTTTTAGAGAAAAAAAGTAAGATTTCTTATAAATCGACAACAGCCTTGTATCTAAAACTATATAAACGTCACGATTATCCAATGAAAAGCGACGTTACAAACGTGCAGTATTATAAAGCAGATAATAAATTGTTCTAGAATAAAATATTATTCATCATTTTAATGTACTAAATCCCTAACAACTGTTTCAACATTTTTTTTTTATTTTATTATAAGAATATCCAACTGATATATTTCAATTGTTTTTATCAACATTTGAAACACTTATGTATTACAATGTGCCTATTGTACATGTACGGTAGTCTAATTTAATTTCAATTCAAATGTACTAAACAGTAATGCTGATCATTCATCAATGATCATTGGTCAGCTTCCTCACCAATTGTGGAATTGAAAGGATTTTTGTCAACATTTAATCAGAAACATTGTTGCCTTAAAGGAAAAGGAAATTAAAAAAAGATCATGCAACAAAATTTTAACTTTAAAATTGAATTGAGCTTCATTATGCACAATATGCTATTTTTGGCATGTCAAACTTTGTAACAACAGTACTTGCCGTATTCTGCAGACTGGCTATATTCGTCTCTAGAGTATAATGAATTTGTTTTGTATAATGTATAGTTGTAAAATCAATGAATACTTGCCATAGATAACATTTTCATTGGCTGAAAAAAATCCTAGATAATTTTTTGTAAAATACTAGAAAATATAATCAATTTTGGATATAGATGTTGTTTGGATACATGTACTTTAAACATAATTTATAAAAAAAGAAATCTATATTTTACATACTTGTACTTTCAAGTTTCTTACATTTCTTTAGAGATATTATTATTATTTTTTTTTTTATTATTATTATTATAATTATTATTATTATTATATACCACATTTCTATAGTTCTATAGCACTCTTTTCATAGATAATAAATGTTCAAGAGTGCTTTACATAAATCTGATAAAACATAATCATATATATGACATAATGTACAATATATACTATGCTCAAATTTGATATAAGAAAAAAAATATAAACACGTTTGACTTCAGACATGATTAAAATGCTAAAAACTACAGGTGGTCACAATATATATGTAAAGAGCCATTAAAAAACCGGGCAGTTTTTTTTAAAGAAAAAAAACAACAACTTTACTTGACCTATAATTTGGAACACAGCTTCCCATACATAGATTATTTATTCCTTTCTTCAAATTAAAGATATTCAGTCAGGATTACATAAATTTCAATAAATTTCTGTGATTAAAATATTTTACTCAATGAGAAGTGTAGTATAACTGTATATCTTTAAATTGTTTTAATCATTGTTTCTATCTGCCACAGATACATGTATCATACAAAAACAATTCAAGGATATTTAACATTGGTGAAACATTGTTTAGGGAAGAAATTTGCGGTTTATTTAATCATGTACTACAAATGCAAACTTGGAAATGTGGTTGATAAAACACGAGTGTGTGTACTGTAATTTCATTGTTTTCAATTCTCTCCCCCCCCCCCCCCATTCCCTCTCATGTTTATACTGAAACCAGCGGTTTAATCGTAGCCTCAATCTTATTTTCACAAAATTTACTTATTTTCAGTATCCGTCTATACCCTTCGGTATCCATCTATACCCCAAAACCAATATAGCTTGAATTTTCTCTGTCTCTTCTGTAACATTTCTAAAACTAAATGAATCATGCATATTTATATCTGATACAAGGAAAGTATAGTTCTCCAAGTGTAACAGCTGTGTTAAATTTAAAAGAACTGCAGCTATGTTATATACACCTTTAAAAAACATGATATTGACAAATATCAACAAAGATTTCTAAAAAGTGCTTACACCTCATTTACCTGATAAGCTTTTATTTCGGTGTCCGAGTACAAAAATGTACGTATTGTATGTGCACAGGAAATGTTTTTAAGTAAAATTACCTTATAATTTAGTGACTTAATGATTATGTAGCAAAGAAATTTGTAATTCATCATATATGTAAAAGTTATGGTATTTTGCATTTTATTTCTTCATATAACTTTTTAACATAATAATGAATGAATCATTAGTTGGCATGTGACTTTTCATGTACAGTGACAGTACCCCCCTCAGAAGTTTTATTTGGTCCAAGGTCCACACTGGCATGATGATATGGTTTCAGCCATTTAATTCAGAGCTTGGTTTCAACCACTTAATCAAGGGTCTATGTGTTAAATGGCATGTTGATACATTTTGTTATGTAATGTACATGTATATCAGTAATAATATATTTCTTATGCTGTCCTTGTACAAGATTTATGATTTAAATTAGATATAACAGTAGATCAATGTAAACAGACAGATATAACATATAGATTAAAGGTATACATAATTATATTGTTAAATCTTTCTTGTGCCCACCAAACTAGAAAATATATTTTAGCATGGCTAGTTTTTGTCAATTTGATTCATTATATAGGTTTTACTAGTATACAGTTACACCTTTCTTAAATGGTGTCATTTAAAAAGTGTGGTTTTGTAAAAGTTGGCCTCCCAAAACAGTATATTGTGTTTATTTTTTTCCAAAGTGAAACTAAAACCCAGTTTCTACATTTTATTGTTAAAGCGGCCTTCGGCTTTTCTAAAATTAAATGTCATATAATTGTCAAATCAAACTAATTAAGGTGAAACATGAAATTTGCCATTGCTAAAATACATAAAATAATAAGGAAACCCCTTGATGCCTCAAATCTACCGGGCCACACTATATGTAAATTAATGAAGCGGACAATTCATTTCCTGATCATTTACTTTTAGAAGCGAACGTCACTGGCCCCCTATAAATAACTCTTTGGACGCTGTTTTGAAGTAGGCCTAACAATGATTCAAGATAGAATAACTGAAATACTAAACACAGAACTTTTTTTTTTCAACAAAAAATAAAAGCTGAAGGCCACTTTAAATGTTCAAGGTCAAATGAGTGTTCACTCTAAACCTTTTGACTTTAAGTCTCGTGAACTACTAGAATCTGGATGGATTTCCATGATACATGTAGTGACTGATGTACTTTAATTTCATGATATGTTTTGACATTCACATTTCAGGTACCCTATTCTAAGTTCAAGGTCACAATTAAAGGTTAAATTGTATGAAGCAGCAATTTTATGTTCACACTTTTTACCTTGAGCTTTTTGAGGGATATTCATAATAAGTGGCTAAAATGTTCATTTCATGTTTGGTATACAGAACCTGCCTATCATGCACAAACAAGCAGTTTGTATTTGGTTGTGGTTATTAAAGCAGCATTGTTCCAGATTCATGCTCATTTTTATGAAAAATTTAAAAATGTATTGAAATGTATATTTGGCTTAACAAAAAAAATGTTAATTTCCAGTGACATGGTTTTAAAAAATAGGGTAGGTAGGTAGGCATTTTTAAAAAAAAAATTTTATATCATGTGTATGCGACGGAAATATGAATATGTGGCGCAAAGTTTATTATGCAGCGTCAAACAAAAAAATGTGGCCTGTTTTCCCTCAAAAAGTTTATGGTCAGTGGCCAAAAAATAGGGTAGGAAGGGACACCAGAAACAAACAAATTTTTTTTAGGCAAAATATTGTGAAGTGAACTTTTCTTAAAATCTTGGAACATTTCTCTCAAATTTAATTTTCTTGAAATGTTTTGGCTCATCTGGAGGCATGCAGCTTTAATGTACATGTTGTTTATTTTATAATTTAGCAGTTTTTCCTATTTTGTTATTGCAGAAGTTCAGGCGAGTCCCTGTACGATTTGTTAGGACTACAGAAAGGTGCCAATCATGATGAAATTAAGAAAGCATATAGAAAGGTAAAGTTTAGCAATTAGTATATACTTTATTACAAAACATTTTGTTAGTCATGTAATAAGAAAAATGTCTGGACAGGTGTGAAAATTTATATCTCTTTTCTAAAATAAGTTGAGCATAGAATGAAGACATTGAATTAAAATTATGGTAGAACATTCAACTTATTTCCTAATTATTGCAAAAATATTATTCATGAATAATTGAATCTGTGAGAATTTGTTAATTAATGACAGCTTTAGAGTGTTAAACGTTTTTCTATGTTATTTTAAATGCACAGCATGCCTGCAACGATAATTGCTTCTTTGTAGAGACAATGCAATTAAATTGACTGCTCAATTTTGTTACTAGCTTGACTATTCAAAGAAGTGTTATTGTACTCACTTTGGTGTCAGGGTTACAATTTGGTTTCTGCTTGCAAGTCGGTATCTCAAACTATTGTAAGGAATGGATTTTAAAATTCACACACTGACTTACTTGAGAGCATTATAGGAGGTCTCTGTCCAAGGCCCATAACTCTAACATAGCTTTGCACAGGATTGTGATCCTTTTGTTTACATTATCCAAGCTCTTGTTTTACTGTCAAGCACTGAAAATTGATTCAGCATGCTGTCCTACTTACGGCTCTTGTTTTGATATTGAATCCCTGGAAATCATTTTGCACAGTTCTGAATTTAAAGTTGGGCAATTCCTTCAATACAAAGATTCAACATTTTAAGGATTAAAAGCATAGATGTTTCTTCATTTATTAGACTTTATGCAAATTGATGTATAGCCTTTTATTTAAGACTGTGAATACATGTAAATGATTTAACTTTTTCTTTTCTTCAGTTGGCTTTAAGATTTCATCCTGACAAGAACCAAGGAAATGAAGAAGCTACAGAAAAGGTAAATATTCTGCAATGTCATACAACCCATGTAACATAGAACTAAGGTTCCTCATAAATTCTTTGTAAGGGTAATTTTATGCATACCTAATACCGTTTGCAAAAACATAAACATACTGAAATATATAAGTCTGAATCTATGAATTTTAGTGTTTTTCTATATGAAGAGTTTAAGAGACTGGTTGTGATCATACACTTACCTCTAGGAGTGGTGGTATACCAGTCACTAGGTTGGTACACTTACCACTATGCCTAGGAGTGATTGTACACATATCATTGTGCACAGGAATGATGGTAGTAAACAGTAGACTTAGGAATGATACACCACTTACTTCAAGGTCTAGGGTGATGATACACATAAAACTAGGTCTGTGGTGAAGGAACAACTACCACTTAAGGAAAATACAGAAACCCTCTTTTTTTTGTCTGTAATTCATATTAAAAAATAAAAAAATAAAAAGAGAAAAAAAAAAGAATTTTGTAAAAAATGTTTTTCAACTTGCAGATTGTGAAAAAATCTTTCTGTTACTGTTTGTAACTTACTTTTACTGTTAAACTTTGTATCTTTCTTTTACTGTAACTTAACATGTAGCGGAAAAATCAATGCTTGATTTATACAAAAGAGATAAAAACATAAATGTTTTAAGAAAAAAGGGCATTGGTTCAGCATTGTGATTTTGCACGTTTTATTTGTTTGCACATGAACTGAAGCTATAAACTTAACTAGTGTGAACTGAAATGATACTACAAAAGAAATTGATTTATTGTGTTATTCTGGCAAACGGCACAGAGCAAGTTAGCAGATGTATTCTTAACTACATACTCCTCTGTCTATAAAATATTCCCAATAATTAGCTCACTGTATTACTCCCTTGGGATATTCTGCGTGCCAAGTGTTATAAGTGGATAGTTAGTTAGTCAATATCATTCATAGTTAATATGGTATCTATGCTAAATATAGAGAAATATTCAACAATTAGTGCCAGTATATTTGATGATGAAGCTGATGAAATTAGTATTGGTGAAAGACTTCCATGGAGGCAGTTAGTAAATATGAAATTTTGATGTGAAAATCTCCTAAATAGGGAGAGAGGTTTTAAAGAAGCTTACAGTTTGATATTCTGTCCCTAAGTATTTATTGTTAAATTACATTGTATGTGTATAATAAATGGAATGTATTTATAAAACACAGCATTTTTGCCACCAGAACCTATAAAAATAACCATAAAGCACAGCATATGCTGTATTTGCCCTTTAATTTAAATTATGCAAAATGCTAAATGGTTTTCTTTTAATGCATTCTTATAGTTGTTTTGATGCATATAATTGCTGATTAAGGCTTATTATATACACTTTAGCTTGCAAATAATTGATTGATATGATTTATATGATATTGATATTGATTTCTATTTTTAATAGAAAAGTTTTTATTTCCCCGCCCTTCCCAGTGGATGGGTGGGGATGGGTACAGTAATACTACATTTGTGTTGACTGGTGTATAGATAGTAACATATGTTGTCTGTTGTTATACAAAAAAATGCAGGTTCAGTTTGATTTTTACTGTTGAAATTTCCTAACCAAGCAAGTAAATTGAAAGAAATTCTAAATCAGTTAGCCTGTGATGTCACCTGACACAAGTGAAAGTAATTGTTTAAAAGATCATACAGGTGAATGATAACCAAATATGATTCACCTTTGCCACCAGTAAAACATCAGGCTAGCCTGCACTTCATTCAGTCTGACCAGGCTTTAAACTGGTAGCTGACTTAACTTCAAATTTTTATTTTGATAACCTGTATTGATTGTGGACAGTTGACAGTTCCAAAAAATGGAAGCTTGACAAGTCTGTTGAGGGTGTAGGCTCTCTGTAATGTGTATAATCAGTATGCAAGTTATAAACTATTTTCTCTTTAATTTACAGTTTAAAGAGATCAATCATGCCCACAAGGTCCTCATGGACAACACAAAGCGAGGTATATATGACCGTTATGGTTCACTCGGACTTTATGCTGCTGATATGGTGGGCGATGAGAATGTAAACACGTACCTTGTTTTAACAAGTGGTTGGTGTAAGGTAGGGATTTTTGTTGTTTTAAATTTAAATTTATTAGAACATTAGCCTATTACCAACTTCTTCTGTTCTCTTGTTTAAATGAATCTTATAGTGTTTCTCTTAAAAAAGTGTTATTTTAAACATTTTTCTTGATGGATACAAATGCATTTGTAATGGTCATAAACAAAAAAAAGATTGTTAAAGCAGTGAGCTTTGTATAGCTAAAACATAAAAGATTATTTCTCTACAAAGGGGCTGTTCTGAAGAGATTTTACTGTATATGCACGCTCAAACTGTATTTTCCGAGTTGGAAACTGAATAATGGTGTTCAGAGGTTATTGGTCTACAAAAGGCCACTATGAAGAGGTTTCACTGTATATGCATTGTTAAACCCTATTTTCTGAGTTGAAACAGAATGATGTTTTCAAGAGATTATTGTTATTATCTTGTGCATATTGCATTGTCCGATGTGGAAACAAAATGTTACTTTGAAATTTGTATATTTCAGGCGCTGGTGATATGTTGCGGGATAATTACGGGTTGTTACTGCTGTTGCTGCTGCTTCTGTTGCTGTTTTAACTTCTGTTGTGGCAAATATAAACCTGCCATGCCGGACGAGGATGGGGAATATGCAAACCTGCATGTAAGAACTGTAAATATATTTACCTGTTCCTTTTATTCTTTATTTTTGTTTGTAATTTTCTGTTTGGTTTATGGTACTTGGTGAGTTTGGTTACAGTGACTTTATTGATTTTTTATGACCATTCCTCCATTTGTTGTGGTGTTGTTTTATAATTTGGAGGGAATTTTTTTTATACAGAAAATATATACTTCTTGGATAGGAGAATGGGGCTGATTTTCAGCCCAAAGTTGATCCAAAAAAAGACACTATTTTGTGTTTCCTTGTTACTGTTGTTTTTGTTAAGGTTTTATATAGAACTAAGAATTTAAGAAGCATATCTGTACTTAAAATTGTTGTATTAAGGTATTGTTGCAGGTGCATATTTAAAAATAGTAAATGAGAGTGTCTGTATAATGGCCTAAAATATTCCCTTGTACAAAAATATACGTTCTCCATGTCTTTAAAATAAATTCCTTCTCACCTGTTAAAAATGAATAAGTGTATTGGTAATATCTCTGGCTTGTTAAACTGAAAATAGAGAGATGATTTTATAACACATAAGAGATATACATTTAGTTAGACTTTATACCCTTCAAAGCACAGATTTGTTATAATTCAATCTGAGAGCTTGATTTGATTGGCTAGGATATTGATTGATCCAGTACAAACAAAAAAAAACTTATGCACTTGCTTGTAAGAGTAGGAAATAATGCTGTTTGACAGTTTCTCTCATAAACAGATTTTGATATAAGACTGAGTCTCTAATTTTCACAGTCAAGGTCAAATAAAGGTCAAGGTTATAATTGAGTAATTTAACATGCTCATTTTGTCATATGTGTTCTTTTGTCCAAGTATGAATAAGATATGTACATAAATAAGAAAGTTATGACAGTTAAAGCAAATTTTGATAACTTAACCTTGACAGTCAAGGTCAAATAAAGGTCAAGGCCATATCAGAATAATTAAACTTTTCTGCTGCCCATTTAGTTCAATAGGGAGAACATTGGATTTGTAGCTAGTTCCACTGCCAAGATATGACTAAAATTGTGTTAATCATAGACAACAGACAAACAAAATTTTCAGCAAATGCCAATGAGTGATAGATGATTCACTTTTCTTTGTAACTAATAAACAGCTCAATAAAACTTAATGTTGTATTTCCTTATATTTACTTTTGTTGTAAAAAAACGATAAAACCATTGAAAAATTCAGAATATACGCTCATATTAGCACCATAGTTTTTTCTACTAATATTTCATCAAGCTAAAATTGTTTTTATCTTTCTTCAAAAAAAAAACACTCTTTATTATTTCTTTTATGTAATTTCACATTATGAACACCTTTAATATTTCTGCTAGATTTAGGCTTACATCATTTTCAAGCTAGACACACTTTTGAGTAGACACACCTTACTTTTTCCTTCAAAGTTGACACACTATAGTATTTCTTCAAAGTAAAAACATTTTATTCTTTCTATGAAGTTCATTTCAAGGAAAACATTAATTTTTTCTTGGGAGATACTTAATTTTCACACTTTTTTCAATTTTTAGGTAGATAGACACTTTTGTATTTCTATGACCTTTAGACAAATTTATCTTTTTAATTTGAAATAATAATATAGGAATTTGCAAAAATTAAATATCTTAGCATCTAAATTATTTTTATTTGTAAATTAGTTTTTTTGTTATTGGAAAAGGTATTCAGGAACTGATAATTTTGGGTTTAATGATGTTCAAATATTTGAAAAATAAATAAACAGATATTTTCTTTTCCATGCTTAACATTTTGTATTCATGTATAAACAGATGAATTTCAATTTTTTAATTATATAGAATAGACTTTATGTTTTTAAGTAGACCATGTTAACATTTAATTGATTAGGGTGTCAATCTGTAAGTGTATTAAAAAAAGAACCAAACAAACAAAAAAACAACATATGAATAGTTCATTTATTTCTGTCTCTCAGAATACTTGATTATGTATGGTCACCAACATTATAGATAATTTTTTCCAAGTTAACATAACTTTGACTTTGTAAAAGAAGAATTTAGTTTTTAAAAAAATAAAAATAATAAGTGTTTAAAGTATTTCAATAATGTATATATTTTTTAATTTTTAATTTGTTTACCAGGAGGAATACAGTAGCACTCCTGAAGATGAAGACAAACCTCCAATTGTTAGCCAACCAGGATCAGGGGAGGAGCCAAAGGGAGGTTTTGAAGGCGGAGCTGCGATACCAATGCCTCCGCCTTCTGGATTATCAGAAAACACAACTCTGACATCTGACGCCAAGCCAAGCTATGGTGCAGACAGTTCATCCCTAGATAGAAAAGAAGCAGCTCTTAATGAGAGTTAATAGTTAACTTTGATAGGTGAACAAAATATCCCCTGTTTCTTAGAATTAAAAGTTCATAATACTTGCTGTTAGATCAGTAAAATACTATCCAGAGAAGTCTCAATTTAAATCTGATTGGTTTATTTATAATTGAGCACTGATGCATAAATGAAATTGATTGGTGCATTGGTTTAAAAAGGGGAGGGGCTTAAATTTTTCAATATCCAATCAAATTCACTGACTTGAAAGATTAGCATCTCATTTTGTACATATATAGTTTTACGATGGTCCATTTGAATCAGAAGTGTATAAAAAAATATGGTGTCAACTGTTTAGAGGAGGGGTATGAAGTGTTATTGATTTGATTGTAAAGCTAAAATAGCTCTGTTGTTATAGATCATTTTATATAGATTGTTGAATTATTATATAAATTTTCAAATTGATTACCCATTTGAGATTTCTCTGTAAACTCTTGCATTGAATTTTTACATGAATAACTCGTCAAAAATTTATTTAACTTAAACAGATTGTATTTATTATCGTATATCAAAGTTGTTTTGGTTTAGTCTTTCTGAATTTACTTAGGTGAAAAAACTGAGAATTCAATTTTTGCTTTTGATATTTATTAGATTTAGATGATGTAATTATTATTAATATTAAGTGTATATCTTTTATTATTGCTTTTTGGAGTTAAGGGTCTTTTTACTAGATAACTTATAGAAATCCATTCCCAACGTGTAGCCCAATATTTATTACCCCCATTGAAACACCATGTAATAATGCATGTTTGAATGTCTTACAGTCTGTTTCTTTCTTATTGGTTAGATTTATGGAAAAAAAATTATTCTTGAGGCCCTCATGGCTGAGTGGTTAAGGTCACTGACTCGGAACCCTCTTGCCCTTCCTTGCTCTGGGTTTGAATCTTGTAGGTACATATGATTCTCTTCTACCATGTAAGGAAGCTCTCCAGGTGATGGAGAAGTTTGGTGGTTCTACTCAGGTGCCGGCTCATGCCTGTGATAAACACGGAGGGGCACCTTAGGTCTTCTTGCATTAGTAAAGCCAAAAGAGTTTCCATATAAACTTAACAGTATTGGTATGGCTTAAAGCTCAACAATTCAACTCATTAATTCTTCTGTTGTTAACATTTAAGTAGTGGTTTTGAGCCCCACTCAGGCTACGGCCATGTTCTCTTGTGTTACTCAAAAGTATTTATGTCAGTTGTGAAAAACCTGTTTCACAGTTGAGCTTTTTTGAATAAGTTTATTTTTAACTTACTGTTAAATAATACTTATTAGTAAATCATATTTGGACATCATGTATCATTGACTAGAGACTGTTTTTACATGTGTTTGATAATGATATCATAGAAAGAAGGGACATAGAAAAATCAGTGGTCCAACATTGGCTGCCACTTATACCTGAATTAATTCATTAAGGTGCCAGCTGTCAGATGCAGTCTTGCATACTGTTGGCAACTTTTTATCAACATTTTGATACTAAAACCCCTTACATTAGTAATGCAATGTTCCTAATTCTAATTAGGACAAGTGCATGGTAGAAAGTATACAGGGTATATTAATAAACAAAGTACATGTACATCTGTAGGGTGTTGGCTTGCTAACTATACAGGGCTTGCTAACTATTCAGGGCTCTCTCTGTTAAGTGTTTTAGGGGAACAGTACCTGTAGGGACAATTTTCACATTGTTTCACTGGTAGCAATATTTGCTGCACATAAACTACTTCAGCTTAAAGACAGTTGAGTTAAATACCACTTCACTATCCTTGAATCTATGTTTTCGATTGTAAGGGAATTTTGATTTTAAAAAAGGGGGTTAAAACAAACATTTTGGCTGGGAAATGGTGATTAATATCAGCTCTTAAAAACAGAGATCTAGAGCCCTGCAATCTACAAAAAATATCTGATGCCCAGCATGTATGGAGTAGATGTACTTCTTATTTTGATGTTTTTCACTTGCAGTGAATTTCACAGGGTTTAACATTTAATTTTACATTGTAGTTAAAACCAAAGTTTTTTGTTTTTTTACTAACTAGATTGATAATCTGTATTGTTTTCTTCAATCAAAACATAATTTAAATTGTGTTTATACAATCATGTAGCAACATGCTTCCAGAGCCATGTAGAATTTTATTAAAATTTAAGAATAGCTCCAATTATAAGTTATTTCCACAATTATATAAGATATATTGATTTGTAATTGCCTCATGCAGTTTCTGTCTAGCAATTACCAGTAATATGTAAAACATATTTCTAAAGTAGCCAGTAACAAGGGTGTTATGTAGTCATTAAACAAGTAACTTCATCCATATTTTGCATCAAATGTAGTGTTATGCAGATTTTGAATATTTGTACATTTATAGTACATTTCTTAAACTCTTAAAATATTTTTCATTTGTTAGATTTTATTTTATTTTTTTTTTGAGAAAATTATTTTTATTTTATCTGGAGGCATGCAGTTTTGAGTATTGATTCTTTGTGTTGTTGGTTTTTTTAAATAGGAAATAGAATTTTCATTAACCAATTGTGTTTGAAAGTGTATTTTTGATTCACATTACATTAAAAAAAAACAACAAACATTCTATGAGTCATGTGGAATCAATATTGTTTGATAATTTGCATTTTGTTGTATATAATCATGCTTATCACATTGATTTGTTTTCCCCCTTTTTAAAAGGCTATAAAAGGACCAAAAGTAAGGCTGAACAAAGTTTCTGTCTTTCATTTGCGATTATGAATTTGAATATGTGTGTGTAGTGTTTTTTTTTGTCATTTTTGTTTTTATATTTTTTGTTTTCAAGTGCTACGTTGTGTTGTTTTCTATTTTATATGTACTGTCTCTTTGTCAAAAAAAATTATCTAACTTTAAAAGTACATAAAAATCATGTATCCGTTTGTAAAAGAAAGACTTTGTTATTGTTAAGTCTGTGGCTGTTTAATTCACTTATACTTTCTTACGTTGTATCCATGTTATGTGTGATATAAAATTGTCTGAATTGACCACTACAACAACCTCTCTTTTACACAGAGAGAGTAAATATTTGAGCCGCGTCACAACAAAACCAACATAATGGGTTTGCGACCAGCATGGATCCAGACCAGCCTGTGCATCCGCGCAGTCTGATCAGGATCCATGCTGTTCGCTTACATACTCTATAACAAGAAGAGAAACTGATAGCGAACAGCATGGAACTTGATCTGACTGCGCGGATGCGCAGGCTGGTCTGGATCCATGCTGGTCGCAAACCCATTATGTTGGTTTTGTCGTGACATGGCTCATTTATGTGATTTTTGACGCATTTTTCTGCTCTTAACTGAGAATGATTTTGAGTGCTTTGTGCAACATGGCTGTAACTCATATAGCATAAAGTAGGAGTTACAACATTTTTGCACAAAGCCAGCAATTTGTTTTATGTTTGCTATAATATATTTGTTATCATCCCATACTGATAACAAGTTCTAAACCATTTCTATTCAAAAAATTTCTGTATCTAGAAATAATTGTACATTACATAAAGTCAAGAGATTTTTCTTTTTCTATGTACAGATTTATCAACCCTATCCTATCACAACCATTGTTTTGTTTATTTCTAGTTTTGCATTCATGAATCATATATTTAAGCTAATGATCAGATGAAGATCTTGCAATTAATACATTGATAAATAACTTTGTTTCTAACTTGCTTGCAATATCATTCCCAAAAAGAATTTGTTAAGTTATGAATGAATACGGTATGGATGGTGGATATAAGTACAATGCATAATTATGAAATGCATGGATTTCTTTGAGCTGGGGATATATATGAGTTGTTATGAATATGTATGAATAGTAATGAGTATGTATTAGTAGCTTTGAATATGTATAAAAAGCTATGATTATGCATAATTATTTATGAATATGTATTAATAGATATGTGTATGTATTTATAGCTTTGAATATATATAAATAGCTATGAATATGTATGAATAGTTATGAGTATATTTTAATGGCTTTGAATATATATGAGTAGCTATGAATATTTATGAATAGTTTTGAGTATGTATGAGTAACTATGAATATAATGATGTTTAAATAGTTGTGAATATGTATAAATGTTTGGATATGTATGAATATGAATCAAAGAGCTATGAATATGTAAAGTATTCATGCAATGACATTTTTGCCTTGTTTGTTTTTGCTATCATTGTTGCAATCTTATCATCAGATTTTCCCACAGAATTTCATAATGGTTACCAACTGTTTTTATCATGTGCTAACTTATGTACAGTTTGCAATAAGGTATTCTGTCTTCATGCATTTTCTATGTTCTGTTACAGATAACTTGTTGTTTTGTGTAGTCATTCAAGTGATTTTGTTGATTTTACCAAACTTTTGGGGAACTTACCTTAATTTTAGTGATTTAAAGGTATATTTGGTATAAAATACTTACCTTTGGAACAATTATTGTTTTACTATCAAGCACGGAGAATAGTCAAGTAAGCTGTCCTGTTGACAGCTCTTGTTTTTAGTGATTGTACTCATAAATGACTTGCCAAATATATCTAATATTGTTATGTTGGGTTTATTTTAGACCAAACTAAATGGGTAAATATCATTTTTCTTTCCCTCATACATTATCATGTCATTTAAGTATTCTGATCAAAATTTTATGATTTTTACATGCTGGCGCCCAAAACAATGCATGAAGGGCACAGCTGCACATGGACAGCCTTTTCCTCCTGATAATAAGTTTATAGGGTGACATCCACAAGAAAACTAATTGTGAAGAACAAGTCTTGTATGCTTGATTCTGATTGGATGACTTTTGTATGCTTGTTTTTGATTGGATCACTTGTGTATGCTTAATTGTGGTTGAATGACTCATGTATGCATGTTTCTGATTCGATGACTCTGACTTGTGTATGCATGTTTCTGATTGGACAATAACAATGAAGTTTAAAATTAACACACATTTGGTGAATCTTTTCTAATTTCCAGCTTTGGCTGGTTTACAAATATGTAGCATAAATTTGGATCCTTATCTCTTAACCTTAATTTATTTTTCAATGTCAAGATTTTAATGGTATGTTTATAGAAAAAGATTGTGTTCTTTTGTTCTTTAAAGCTGTATGCCTCCAGATGAGCCAGAAACAATTTCATTTAAATCAACTTTGCGAAAAATAAACATCTCAAGTAATGATTTACTTGTTATATGCAATTAATGTCTGATTTTGCAGTATTTTTCACCATATTTCTATGGTGTAAGAGTTTTTTTTGTGCATATTTTGACTTTTATTTGGATTATTTGGCAATGTATAAATTACTTTCTTTGTTCTCTTGACAAATTTTATTCTTGAATACATTTTTAAAATTTTCATGAAAATTAGCATAAATATGGAGGCATGCTGCTTTAATATACATGTATGTGATGTTGTTTGATAAATAATACTCTTATTTGAAAAACTAGAAAATCTAGATATTGTTCCAGCACAGTGGAATGAAAGTTACTTATAATTTAATTTGATATGTACATGTACATATATAATTTAATTTCATATTATTGTCTAGTGGATTTTTTAGATAAATGTAGAACTTCAAGCACACAGAAACAGTCAATTTATTTAACTTGTTGAGTAGCGATTCAGATCTTTCTCATTTTGTATTTGATGGAAGCATATTAAGTGTCAATACTAAATGAATGTATGTTACTAAATATAGATGTCAAAATGCTGTTTTTAATTTATTTCATACCTATGACCTATAGATTTTTTTTGAGTGTTTTAAGATAATCATATTTTACAGCCATTGTATCGAGGCCATTGATAGTTTAAATATTTGTTTTTGGTGTTGAGATCATTAAATATTCAGAACCGTAGAGTAGATGAGTTTTATGACTTTTTCTTATGTCAGGCTACAAGTTGAAAAGAAAAATGGCTTTTATCAGGTCTTTTTAAATGTTTGATTTTTCCGACATAATAGATATACTGATAGAAGAGACACCATTTCAAGACATATTAAGTCTCAGAAGGTATTAGTTTTCTTCACAGACACTTGGGTTGTGGAGCTCAAAACGCCTTTAAAATCCAATTAAAATGTATATTTGTCATGTGCTGGGATTGACTAATATACATTTTAATTGGATTTTAAAGGCGTTTTGAGCTCTAAGTGTATGTGCATTTCTTGTGAAGAAGAAGGGGGTAAACATGTATGTTATAGTGTTTTATTAATGAATTTAGAGCATGTTCGATACTTACAATGTGAAGGAAATAACAATGAAATAATTTCTCATAAAAGCAGTAAAATGTAAGCAAAGTCGTATTTTTTTCCTCCATGTAAGATATTTAAATCACTAGAACTGTGCTTAAATTGCCTAAAAGCAAAAGAAGCAGTAAATGGTTGAGCGTATAAGGATATTGAGTTCCATTGGGAAATACTGCACACCAAAAAGAAAAAACTTTGAGAAATAGAAATTTTAACAAATTTTTGGGAGCTTATGGAGGCCTTAACCGTATACACGTTACAGAAGGCCTTTAAATAGAGGGTCTTTAAATAATGCTTTTAGGAAGGTATACTCAGAACAGAAGAATGATGGTTCTACAGTTAGATTGGTTTAACACAGGAAACTGAACATAGAAAATTGAAAAGAAATTTTTCTTATCCCTTGTCTTTCGGACACTTTTTAGATGTATATTTCGTTACACAATAAATATATTATTAAGTCATTCTTTTACATTTTTTTTTCATTATCCTTACCACAAGTATATTGTATATCTTTGTACAGAAATATATGATGTAAATACTAGATGTGTATGTGTTTCTCTATAAAAGCCCTAACAGAATACTTTTGATGAATATGAGATACTAAATTGATACTGAAAAAATACACTCTTTTCAGACAGAATAGTTTGGCAAATCTGTTTTTTCTCCATGCTTATCATACCTATTCTGAAGTTGACCGTCACATTCAAGTGGTCCTGTTTCCTAGCAAATTGACTCATGCAGATACCCTCAAAGGCAAAATAAAGCACAGGTAACAAGATCACCATATGTTCACATGGTAGAGGCTTTAGCTGCCAAAAAATAGTGGGGACCATGCTTGACTTTTTCCTATTTCTGAAGTCAAGGTCACATTTGAAATAATCATGATTAAAGAGGTCTTTTGTCCAAGAATTAAACAGATCCATAAATAAATAAATCTAACAAAGTTATGAGAATTAAATTTCAATAATTTGACCTTGATGTTAAAGGTCAGTCATATCGGAATAATTCAACATGTTGGTTTGGTCATATGTGTTCTTATGAATCAAATCTCTGAATGAATAACAGAGTTATGACAATTTAATGGTGGGCTCAAATGTGAGGACAATACATTAATTAATTACAAAATTATCCTTTTCCCCCATGAGCATATTGTGAAAAATGGCCGTTTTCACTGAAAAGCCCCCTGTTACAAGTTCAAACTGCTATGAAACTATGAAAAATTCTTCAATACTAATCAAACTTGGCACAAATGTTGACTGGACCATTGCCTTTGTAACGACATGCTCAGTCTTAAATTTCCTGTTACCATGGCAACGAGGGGACATCTCAAAATTGCCAAAAATCACTAATTTGCCTCGATTTTTTCCATCAAAATTTATTTCAAAGTGCTGCAACTGCTCAAGGGATTGAGATAGAGTCAAAGGCTTTTCAGCGTTGGTTAAACGTTACATTATGATCGACCTGGGGTCATTTTTAGCCTCTCACAAGTCCAAAATTTTCTTGGCGATGAGGGGGACTCCGCCACCCTCCAAACCCCCCTAACAGAAGGGGGCACATCCCCCTTCTGGCAACCCCCTGATGTATCTTTTGGATGGGGGGCGGCGCCGAAAAAGTGCTCAATTTTTAAAGCAACATTTCTCAAACGAAAACTTATGTTTGGGGTCCAAATAGGACATTTTTTCACTATTTGAGGCCTAAAAAAGGGGGGGGGGTCGAAAGTGCGTTGTTTCGCGTATATATGTGGTAAAGGGTTAAAGCAAATAACAGCCAAAAGCTGTGAAATTACAATAATTTGACCTTCAAGGTCAAGGCTATTTATTGATCAAGGTCAAATTGAGTTTGATCATTTTAAAGACATTGTCCATAAAGTAATAGTGCTTAAGTATGAAGGTGATTCATTCATAAATAACCAAGCCAATTATTGCAAAAGTCAAGCAACTTCAAAATTCAAACTTAAATTGACCAAGGTCAAGGTCATTGAGGAGTAAAAATCTTAATCAATTTGATCAACTAGAAGGTCACGAATGTTGTGTCCAGTATGAAGACAATCCAGTCCTAATTATTAAAGTCATATCAAAAATCAATTAAAATTCAAACATTTGACCTTGAAGGTCATTATGACCGGAGGTCAAGTTCAGTCTGGTCTACCTGAAGGTCCTGTTTAAAGCGTTGTTGTGTCCAAGTATGAAGAGAATCCATAAAGGAACAAGTTAAATGTTGATGCTGCACATCAAAGACGCCGCCAAATGATATGAACAGTCACAGCAAGGGGGAGGAACTGTTACACGAGGGATGGAGTTCTTATGATAACTTGTCAAGGAGTTCTTGTGATAACTGTCACGGAGTTCACCGGAAAACTTTTGTATATACTGCAAAAACACTCGTCCAAAATGATAATTTTCATCTTTAAAAAGTGAGTTTTAGGTGCTAAATTAATCTTTAAAGATTAAGCTTGCCTTACATATTGCATTATGTGTCAAAAACTGATTCATAGCCCATTGTTCATCGCCTCTTGCTTAAAATCTGGTAGTTTTTGTTTAAATTTTCAAATTATTTGCCATTTCGCAAGTATTGGCCTGTTTATTTCAAGTCTTCATCCTTGCCATACATAATTACCTAATTATAATGCAAAATTGCAAACATAAAGCCCCGACTAACAAATTTATACCCGATTTTTCAAATGTCCCGGAGTTAAACTTCGTATATACGCATGCGCTTGCTAGTATGAATGAATACATCGGGACAACGGCCTATTTACTAATGATTGATCAAACATTTATTGTAGATAAAGTTTTGTCTGTGAATTATTGTTCAATTACATTAAGATGAGACTTTAATGAACGTAGCATTGTTTGGAGTAACAGGCATCACTGGTCTGAAGTGGTGCGACCGGTAGACCGTTGATTTTTTTATTTGTTTATTTTTTTATATATATATATATTATATATATATATATATATATATATATATATATATATATAATATATATATATATATATATATATATATATATATATATATATATATATATATATATTATTTTGGATAGTGCTACTCATTTTGAACCAAGAAAAAATCTTCTCTACGCATCCCTGTTAAAATTAATTTGTCTGGTAAATTCTTTGTAATACATTTATATTTCGCCACGATTCTGCTAGATTTATCATAAATCTGAAGATGTGGGGAAATGACATCACGCGCACCTGTATTTATACGACAAATACACAAACATGGCCGCGCCTACTGATTTGTAGAAATCGGTAATTTAGCGATTTAAATTTTGTTATCATTCGTTTAATATAATTATTTGAAGGCAGAACATTTGCAGATTTACTATTAATTGTATTCTATTTCTGATATCAAGTTTTTATTCTAACATTGCCTTTCCGTTTAAATGTATATAGTAAAAACTTTAAAAATCATCTAGTGAAATTCCAAAAGAGGTAGAGCTTAGATATTTGCATTGATCGTTTCCAATTGAAATTTATTAAATTAGTTTTTGGACTGAAGCAATCTACCCCATCATGTATGATTTATGGCGAGCTAGGAATATTGCCTTTGTCTTTGCAAATTAAGTCAAGAGTTCTGAACTATTGGGGCAAACTGATTAATGATAAAAAAGATAAAATTTGTTCTATGCTGTATTGCATGTCAAAGAAACTTTACTCTGATTTTGATGTTGATTTTCCTTGGTTGAAATTTGTGCATACTTCTTTAGATTCTCTCGGTCTGTCAAGTTATTGGATTTTTCAAACAGTTAGTTCTGTCCCACATTTTAAGAAAATTATTTCTGCTAGAATTAAGGATCAGTTTATTCAAGATTGGCAATCTTCTATTCATGAATCCAGTAAATGTTTGAATTACAGAATTTTTAAAACTCAATTTGGTTTTGAAAAATACTTTAACATTTTACCATCAGATTTAGCAATAGCGTGTTTCAAATTTAGATGTATGAACCACAAAATGCCAATTGAAACAGGTAATTTTTTTAATTTGGATAGAAGTCTAAGAGTGTGCTGTTTATGTTCTGATAATTTGTTAGGTGATGAATTTCATTATTTATTTCACTGTTCCTATTTTCAACACCTGAGAAAAACATATTTAGACAATTCATTTTTCATAGACCTAATTAACATTATTAATTTTTCAAATTTAATGAATAGTGAAAGCAAAAATGTTTTATTCAATCTAGCTATATTCTGTAAGAAAATAATCTTTGTGCTTAACAATACATATTGATATATTTTTTTTCATTTTGATCTCATTCTCCGATTCTAAATTATTAAGTATAAATATGTTATATATTTATTCTATTTTTTTTTATTCTATTTTGTTCTCTTTTTTTATGTACATAATTATGTTCATAACATTGCCATTTCAATTATGTATCACTTTACTTTGTTTTGTAAACATTTGTTATATTGTTGTTTTCTCACATGCCCAGTTGGGCCTTGAGATATCAATAAAAACTTGAAAACTTGAAACTTGCATGAAACATGTTTTAGCGGATGTCTACCATATTTGATGAAATAAAACCTCTAGGGTCAAAATTGGCCCCATCCAGGAGATCATTGATTTTCCTTATATGTCCTGTAAATTCTGTTTTTTTCGTGATGTTTTAATTTTCGCTTTTTCTTCTGGGGTGAAAGGTTCTCCACTTTTTGACTTATTTCTCAGGTGAGCGATCCAGTTTCTTATTTGGGGTTATTCCAGGGGCGTATTCAAGAAGCATGTTCTGTTGATCTTGACGAGTATCTCTTTAATATGTTTGTATGACAAAACATTGCCGAACCTGGAACCCACGGTCTTCTTAAGTCCCAGTTGAAGCGGAATATTTCTACATGTATGATACTTCCGACCAAAGGAATTTTTCAATAGAATGGAAACGGAAGCGGGACATCTATTTGTATATATAATTATATTGTTTTAAAACACCAAATAAACAAGTTTCTCTGATCTCAAAATAAGAAAAGGGTTGTGCTTAATTGAGAAGTTGCGTTAGTATACAAGTTAAACCCTCAAAATAGATATAATGGTATCGGGCCCACCGCACTGCGTTGCAATAGAATCCACCGCCGTCTGCGTTGTATTCATTTTTTTGTCAATTCTTTTATTAAAAAGGCAATATCAATTTCCAAATATTTAGTTGTTTTTTTTTTTTTTTGAAAGTATCATACATACAATGTCATGGCCGGTATAGTAATAGGGTCCTTTTTGCATGCATGTGTACGTGTTTTCACCAAAATGAGACAACTGTGGCGTCCCTCGTCAGAACAGTAAGAAGTGTTTTGCATAAATGGCAATGAATTGTATGTATGTGTGTCAACGTTGTAAGAGTGCGCATGTGGGCTCCCGTCTTCACTAAGTGTTTTCAGATAAACATTTAATCTTGCCGACACAGCAAACGGCCATTTTCAATCCGCCGCTTCTGCGACGAGCGCTTCTGCGTAATCTATGGCATGTGTGATCTATTTTGTACAACAATTAACTGCCGTCTTTTTTATTGTGTTGTTTTTTTGTTTCTAAAGCTCGGTTTATAAA